GCTCGAGAGGCAAAGGCAGCGCACTCCCTGATCAAAGCTCGGTTGGGGGCCAATTGCAGGAGGGCGGAAATGGGCGAAGCTGTCGGCGGTCCTCTGGTCGCTGCTGATGCTACTGATGTCGCAGAAGCTGCTCCAGGTGCAGCGGCGTCCACTGAGCGTGAGCCCGCCGAGTCCGCCGCGGCCCACGAGGGCGACGGCGGCGACAGCTCGGGCGACATGCTCGCGCGCGTCCGCGCGGAGGCTGCCAATGTCTCTGAGCAAACGCCCGCGCGCGCACGCGCACGCGCGCGCACGCGCGCGCACGCACGCGCGACACCACGCGCGCAGACACCCCACAACCAATGCGACGGCGCGTGTCCTGCGGTTATGGATTGCGCGCGTGGGGTGGGGCGGGGGGGGGGGGTCGTCATCTTCATGACGTAAGTCCAGCTCGTTTTCTTTTTGTCGGCCCTCGGGTCCAGGGGCACTTCGGGCGGCTTGTCGGGCGCCCCTCGGCTGCCCGGGGTCCCGGGGGCCGCCCGTGCGCGAAACGTCCCATCCCCGCTTGGAGCTCGACGCAGTATCTTAAAACAGCGCCAGGACGCTGGAGGCCCCTCGAGCGCTGCAGGGTCGTTGCAGCAGCCTGCGCGACCGCCGATGCCCGCGCAGTCTGCCGACGTCTCTAGTCTCCCCGGGCCTTCTGTCCAGCCCCCGTTGCCTGGGGTGGGGCGCCCTTCTAACTTTGTCGCCGCCGCGCCCGAAGCCCCCCCCCCTGGATCAGTTTCCTTGGAGGTTGAGACGATCAACGGTAAAGCTTGGCCGTCGGCGAAGGGGCGGCTGCCTCAGCGTTCGGCTCGCGTTGCGCTCGGCCAGGAGCGCAAGCTCCAAGAAGGAGACTCTTTGGACTTGGCGTCTCGGTGGTGCTACAGTAACGGCTGGAAGTCCCTCTGGATCCCTGTGGCCCGCGGGCCTGGGGGGGGGCCCATCATGCGGGGCGGCTATCATGGCCAGGTCCTTGTTGGGCCTTCATGCACCACCCCCGACGGGATTAGTATTTTCGCCCACTTGGGCGATTGCTGGCATTGCTCACCCTCCAGGGGGCCGGCCTAGTCTATCTCGGGGATTCTGCGAGGGTGGACGACTACTACTTAGAGATTCTGGGTCACGTGGGGGCGTCTCTGTCGGTGCGTGGCTAGCCTGTCGCGCTGGGCGGCGACTATAACTTCGGGCCCGAAGCCCTGCGCGAGTGCGAGTTCGCCCATAACGTGCGCGCGCAGCTGTCTGAGAAAGGCCCCCCAACCTGTTTCGGCACGGGCGACCTGGGGCGCTTCGATTGCTTTGTGAGTCGTGGCGGCCTCGCGAGGGCCGTGCAGTCTGTGTCCGTGGACTCCCAGTCGGCCTCGTTCGCGCCTCGCGTCCCAGTTCGGGCAATTTTTTCAGCGGGGCTGGCTCAGCTACGCGCGTTGTCATTCCGACCCCCCCCCGATCGTTGCGGATGCCCGGGTCGGTCCCGTGCCCGAGCCCCCGTCGTTCGAGCGGCGCGAGATTCTGGTGGGCAAGGCCTTGGTTAGGGCCCATCGGGGGGAGTTCGACGTTTTGGACGACGTCCTTTCTGTGGCCTACAAGCAGTGGGGTAATGCTCCTGAGAAGAGTTGTGTAATGCTGTGGGCATCGCCCTCCCGTTCTATGGAGCGCGTGGGAGAGGGCTTTCACTTTGGTTGCGTCCCGTTCTGGGGCGTGATTGAGGCGTGCCTCCGTATCCTGTGCTGCGTGGCATGGGATGGTCGAACTCGAAATTTCAAGCTTTCCTCGGGCTCTGCGAGGGCCACTCTGCCGCGCTGACTGCCGCTGTCAGTGCTCTGTGCGACCCGCCGCCTGCTGTTGCCCCTCACCAAGGTGACTTTGCGACTCTTTTCCTCGAGGTGGCCGCGTCGCTGCGAGCTTGGTTGGGGCCCCCCAGGATCCCAGTGCGTGCCTCGCTGGCCTGGGCCAGAAGATTCGGGGCGACCTTGGGAAGTGTGCGTGGAAGCTTTCTCTGGGCAAGCTCGCGCAGACTGGTCTGCCTGGCTCCTGGGCGGCGTCGATCAAAGGGGCCCGTCGGGGCCATCTGATCTTTAAGGGCCCTGCGGCCTGGCGTCCCACCAGCACCTTGAGCAGATTCGGTTCCTTTATGTCTGCTCCCCAGGAGCTCCTCCGTTCGGAGAGACAAGTCTGGGGCCCTCTGGAGGGCTCAGGAAAATCCAGGTTGCTTCATATTTGCCCGCTCTGAGCCGCCCCCCATCATTTCCCCTGGCGGCATTCGGGAGATTCCTCGTTCGTTTTCCAGGAGGTCTGTTGTTGGGCCGGACGGCTTCTGCATGCGCCACTACCAGAATCCAGTTGACGCCTCGCTCGAGTGCCTCGCGCAATTGCTTCTTGTGGTTGAGTCGGCGGCTCTGTTTCCTAAGCAGCTCCGAGCTTTTGTCGTAGCCATGATCCCTTAAACTGCCCTTGGTTTACGCTCATTTTTTCCTCTCCTAGCCCCTGCCGCCTCTGGGGGCGGTGTCGGAAATCTTGGGCTCAATCCTGGGAGATCGAGCACGATCGGCCCTGCTGGGGCGCGGGCAAATTTCGCAGTGCCGCGGGCGCCGTCTGGCGCCAGGCCCTCAAATTGGAGACCAGCACGGTCTCTAAGTTGCATTCTGGCGGCCTGTACTGGGACATGCTGAAAGTTTGCCAGCAGATCCCCTTGGTGCTCCTTGAACAGCGCTGCCGCAGGCTTACTTCCAGCCAGTGCTATCGGGAGTTTGCCTTTGTGCATGCATGCCGTTCGGCCAGGTTCATGGTCCTGTGCGGACTGGTCGCTCTTGCGCTCTACGCTGAATGCGGCGTTGTGGCTGGTTGCTCGATGGCGACCACCATGATCGAAGTTTGCGGGGTCGAATCGTTCGGCTCGGTGCCCCGTGGGCCGAGCGCGACTCCGGACATTTATATCGATGGCTCTTGTCTCAATTGTGAATGCACCACCAGCCGCGTCATCTCTTGTTCTGGCGCAGTCTGCTGAAGCTTTGCGAGTTGCCATCGCTGAGATGATGCAGGCCCTGATCTCTATGGATAAGGTTGAGTTTGTTTCGTCTTACAAGGTGGTCTCTCCCCGCCTCCAGGGCGAGTTTGGGCCCCTTCTTGGGCCAAGGAGAGAAACCGCGGTCAGCCATGGCACTGACGTGACTGCTGGCGTGCCCCGCAGGGTTCGCGGCCGTGCAGCTAAGGCGAAGGCTAGGCTCTCAGCGGCCGTCCGCAGGACTCGACGTCTGGCGATGCAGCGGCCAGTTCTTGGCCGTCGAGCGGCTACGGTCTTTATCTCTGGTCCTTTGGCGGGCCTGCAGTGCGGCTCAGAGGTCCGCGGTATGACTGACGCGGAGCCGGCCGCAGTGTGAAGACTGTGTGCCCCGACCATGAAACCGTCCAGTGGATGTCGGAACCTTCGATTTAAACCCGCGTCGAAGGCGACCCTGCTCGGTTTGGAAGTGTGGCCACGATCGCGGGATATCGCAGAGAACTGTGGCTGCCCCAATCCCGCGCGACTCCGTGGGCCCCTGCTTCGGGGCAGATTCGGCCGGCATGGAGTGCGACGCGGCGCTCCCGATCTAAGTATTGGAGGTCTGTCCGGGGCCCGGCGGGGGCTATGTACTTGCCACTGCAAAGAATTAGCTGGGGCATGGCCGACCCGTTCACGAGGGCGGCAAGAGCCTCCCCTCTCCATCGCGCCCCCCGCCCTCGTGAAGCGCTTCTTCGGAGGTTAGGTTTTGAGAAATGGCTTGAGATTGAAGTGGGAGCCAAGTGCGTCGATGGCCACCAACTGTGTCTTGATGTTGTTTCTCGGGCCTTCGCCTCTACAGAGCCGTCGGAAAAGCAGGGGAGGGGCGGTCCGTGCCGTTGTTTCTCGGGCGATACGGCCTCTTGGCAAGGCCGTCTCGAGAGGGTGTCTCGTTGATGACCTGTGCCCGCTGCGCGGCCATCATGGAGACGCCGTGCCCCGCGGGTTGTGGCATTGCCCAGTGCGCGAGGAAGAGAGGATTGCCATCGTCGGAGTTGCCCACCAGGAAGACGAGGAGGCCCTCCCGATGGCCGATCGGTTGCACACCATCGGGAATCATGTTGCGGACGCCGCAGCTAAAGAAGGCGCCCTTTTGCACCCCAGGCTGTCTGCCGACGAGATGGCTGGGATCTATTCTCTGTACTCTGTTGCCCGTGCTGTCACGAAGCTGGCCGCGCAGATCATGAAGGGATGGCCTCGGGCGAATTTCGAGGGCAACTGAGCCCCCTCCCCCACTGGTCAAGGATCCGAGGCCACCGCACGAATGGAGTTGGGTCGGGAAGTTCTGGCAGTGTTGCCACTGCCTCACAGGCTCCCGCTCCTCGGCCGCGCCGTCTCCAGGAATTTGCGACCGTCTTTTAAGGGCCGATCCCGCGAAGCTGCGGGAGCTCGAGCATCGCTGCCTCGTGGTTGATTTCAGCGACGGGAGCTTCGCGTGTGTCTGCCAGGTCTGTGCTGCGTTCACGACTGGAGGTCAGATGAGGTTGCTCGCCAAGCAATGCCTTGGCGGCCCGCCCGCTCGAGGCGAAGTTTGGTCGAGATTGGGCAACGGTCTCCACCCTGATCACAAGAGGGTTGGGGTCACTGCCGATCTCGAGACTATTTGCCCCTTGTGAAAGGCTCTGAGGCCGTGGATGTCAAAAAAACACCTCCTCCTCCTTTTCCTCCTCCTTTTCCTCCTCCTTTTCCTCCTTCTCCTCCTCCTCCTCCTCCTCCTCCTCTTCCCCCTCCTCCCCCTCCTCCTCCTCCTCCTGCTCCTCTCCCTCCTCCTTCTCCTCCACCTCCTGCTGCTCCTCCTCCTCCTCCTCCTCCTCCGCGTCCCCTCCTTCTCCTCGTCCCCTCTTCTTTCCTCCCCTCTCCTGCGCCCCCCCCTCGCCGGCCCTCCTCCAGCCGCTCCCTCCTGCGGCTGCTCCGCCGCCCGCCCCCGCGGGGGCTGCCGAGGGAGGTGGCGCCGGCGCGCCCCCGGGGCACAACTACCCGGACGCGTCGTCGTCGCAGGCAGGCTCTGGCGCCCGCGCCCGGGAGG